TATTTTTAGATCCATCTAAAAATTCTCTAATTAGTCTTGAAAGAGGGTGAACCTAATTCTTGCACCCAGTGAAAACGGGTAAAATCAGCTATAATCTAATAATCTTAATCTTTGCTATTGTTACTTTTTGCCCGAGCAGCGCCAGGCTCATCTGCTAGTATTATAATAAACTAAAAGGTTTTTTCCAGACATGAATATATAGTACTTGATTGTAAAACATCTAAATGACAAAAGGATTTCTAGTTGTTGATCACTAGCTCATATAAGTAGGCTTACTATAATATTTTTTTCTCAAACCGGCACAGTTTTGAGAAAATACTCAACAGAAAATAAAGCCTACTAGGATAAGTACCTATGATTGAAAAGGCTATATAAAAAGTTGTTAACAAAAAACATTGACTTAAAAGCAATTTTTAATAACTCAACTGAACATATCTTATTATTAAGAAGTTATTAACCAGTTCAGAAGCCCAATTGAAACACCTCCACAATTTATATATCCATGAAGAACTATACTTCACCATGTTTGATTTTGAAGCCCCATATCTCTCAATAAGAATAGAAATGTGTTTTTGTAAACCAAGCAACTTTCAAAATATAACTCGTTTACAAGGAAGAAGTGTCCCTATGGGTAGCCCAATTTCAGGCACCTTATGTGAGTTATTGATTTGAAAACTAGAAATGGAAGCTCTACCACAATTCCTAGTACATATGAAGTGTGCAATGCCATAATGTTGTAAATGCAAAAAAACAAACTTTTCAGGAAAGGTAAAAAAGACTTTTTTCTAGTGAATGAATTCATTTCAATTTTACAATAAAATGGCAAAAAACTCACTAGGTTACAAATTTTCTGGAATATCAAAATGATGTAAATATAACATTTAAAGTGCCAAAGTGAAAGTCACTTGTTTTAAGTGCCAAAAATCATGTGAATTGCACTTTGGCACTTTAAATGTTGTGGCTTCACATAAATTCAACTTCAAAATACAACCACTTACAGTGCCAATATTACCATAATATTTTTTAAAATCAGAAAACATTGCATTTAGAATTCAATTCTTCAATAAAACATATTTAGAGAAAAATGGCATTTATAATGTTATGGCATCACACGCTTCATATAGTGTCATACCTTAAATACATAGATGATATTCTAATCATTTAGAGATGCAAATAGAGCTTGCAGAAATTCTTAATAACCTGTTTTGACCACACCTACAGACTGAACAAAAAGACTCCAACAATATCCACTTCCTGAATTACTCATGACCTGACAGAATGGACATGTCCAACAAAAGTATACTGTAAACCAGTGATTCCCAAACTTTTTTGAGTCATTGCCCCCTTTGTTCCATAACGTTATACCCAATGTCTCCCAATTGTACCCCAATGCCCCCTAACCCATTTTTCCTTCTGTGAGAGACTTGAAAATATTTTTAGGAAAACTTTTCTATGAACCTCATACTTTGTGTCCTTACAAAACATTGTTCTCAAAATCTGGAAACCATTAAATGTAATGTTTCTTCTTACCCATTTTAACAGGAAAGAAAAAGGTTGTCAGTGACCTCAACCTTCACCTATGGTCACCATCAGTACCTTACCTCCAGTGCTCCTACCATTCATTTGTTTATTTTTGTCGCCCTAGATTTACTCACCACCAATGGGGAGGCAATAGCACCCACTTTGGGAACCACTGCTGTAAACCTACTATATTAAACCTTTTATAAACTTTCAAGAAAAAAGTTATTACGTTTGCATCTTTATTCTAGAAATTCATTTCAAGTTTATTTAATTTATTTTTTGATAAAAAAATTTATTAAAATTAACTGCCAGTACTATACATTTTTAGAAAAAATTCAGACTGGCACTTGATTTTAATATAGTTTCTTTTACTAAGAGCTCTGGTGCAAAGTGTTTGCATTATTATGATTATTATACAATAGAAACACAAACAAAATCTATATGATATCATGATATGTACTAAGTGCATTCTTGGTTGATTAGTTTGATTGCATTCTTTGGTGCAAAAATGTCAGAGGATATGCTATAACAAACCAAACATTAGGTTTGAGTATATGTGGTAACAAGAGATAAGAGGAAAAATGAGAATATGACTTAAAAAGATAGAACTAAGTAGATTCTTCCAATTTGGATAACTTTGGGCTTGCATGTCATAATTTACGATCTACTAAAGTATTACAATATTTGATTATTGCGACTTGAAGAGAAACAAGGGAAGAATTACATTTGGTTGTAGATGTGTATTGGCAATGAATTTTGCAGGAGATAAACATAATTAAAATTATCTTTGTTTTGTAATGGAAAATATTGGCATTCAAGTAGGCTTGGGACTTGTAAAAACTGCTCTTTTTGTATATGATGCCAATGCTCTTCCTGTATATTTTGTTGCTCAACAGCCATGGAAAACTTGGAATAAGCCTCCTAGTGTATGGGCAAAACCACTAAAAGTTGGTGATCCATCAAGTCCTTTAGTGAGGGTTTGTAAAGAAAACAACTTAGGACTTGAAAACATAACAACAGTAGATGAATTGTTTCGTTCTTAAATTGCACGTCATGCAATAAGAGGTGTTCTGGTTCTACAAAAGTTTTGGGAACAGATGAAGAAATTCAAAAATATGGGAAAATTTTCAAAAAACTGATATTAAGAGATTATAAATGGCTTAGTTATAGTGACCTTGATCAGAAAGTTGACAAAATAGGAAAAGGTCTTCTATCTTTAGGCATTAGGCCTCATCAAAATATAGCAATATTAGCAGATACTCATTTGGAATGGATGCTAACTGCTCAAGCTTGTTTTAGAATGAATGTAACAGTAGTAACACTATATGCAACACTTGGAGAAGAAGGAGTAATTCATGGTATAAATGAAACGGAAGTCACTCATATTGTTACAAGTCAAGATTTAGTTCCAAAATTAAAGAAAATACTTCCAAATGTACCATCCCTAACTCATATTATTTATATAGAAAATCCATCATCTATAGAAATGCAGGATTTCCCCAGATCTGTCAATCTGATACCTTTCTCAAAACTGGAAAAATTAGGAATGGCAGCTGATCCTGAACTGCGTGGAGAAAAACCTGTAGCAAGTGATCTGGCAATTATTATGTATACTAGTGGGTCAACTGGAATACCCAAAGGTGTGATGATAACTCATAAAAATATATTGACTACCACAAAAGGTTTTGTAAGTGCATGTCCGTCAGTCAGAGAGGATGATGTTTTCATGACATTTCTACCATTGGCTCATGTATTAGAATTATCTTTTGCTTTTTTATTGCTTGTGGTGTTCCAGTAGGATATTCATCTCCTCATACAATGACAGATCAGTCAACTGCTATTAAAAAGGGATGCAAAGGAGATGCATCAATATTGAGGCCAACAATAATTGCTGCTGTTCCATTAATTTTGGACAGAATACGAAAATCTGTATCAGAAGTAGTAGAATCACAGGGTAAATTTTCTAAAGCATTTTTCAATTTTGCTCTGAAATACAAGAATTCTGGGAGAAAAGAGGATTTAAAAATCCAAAACAATTTTGGATAGATTGTTGTTTAAGAAAATAAGAAAGATAATTGGTGGAAGATTACGAGCACTAGCATGTGGAGGAGCACCATTATCTCCAGAAACCCATGAATTTATAACCACTTGCTTTGGTTCAAAAGTACTACAAGGTTATGGATTAACAGAAACTACAGCTGGAGCCACAGTTATGGATGTTGAGGATGATCTTCCAGGAAGAGTAGGAACACCATTAAGTAGTTGTTATATCAAATTAGTTAACTGGGAAGAAGGAAATTATCATGTTACGGATAAGCCAAATCCTAGAGGTGAAATAGTTGTTGGAGGTGACTGTGTTTCTGCAGGCTATTACAAAAATGAAGCAATGACTAAAGAATATTATAGAGAAGAAGATGGAATAAGGTGGTTTTATACTAGAGATATAGGAGAAGTATTTCCTGATGGAGCTGTAAAAATTATTGATAGGAAGAAAGATTTGCTAAAACTTCAGTTTGGAGAATATATCTCTCTTGGGAAAGTGGAAACAGAATTGAAGACTTGTCCTTTAGTAGACAACATATGTGTTTATGGAAATAGTTTCCAAACTTACTTGGTAACTCTGGTTGTGCAAATAAACGTCAGCTAAGAACTCTTGCAAAAGAGCTTGGAAAAAAACAACTTAACTTCAATGAATTATGTCAGGATTATGCAATTACTTCTGCTGTGGAAAAAGCCGTCAAAGAATACGGAATAAAATGTCGCTTACAAAAAGTTAAAATTCCCACCAAAATCAAACTCTGTAAAAGAAGAATGGCATCCCGACACTGGCTTAGTTATTGCCGCATTCAAGTTGCGTTGAAACATTATTCAACAGTTTTATCACAGATACATCGATGAAATGTATGGAAGCAAAATCAATGGTCAGTCAAAATCAACTTGAAAAAACCAAAGTAAATCCAACACAAATTATGTAAAGTCACAATGACAATTACATTTACATACCACAATGCAAAATTAAATTTATTTATTATATTTGATTTTTGCATTATCTCAACAGTGTTTTAAATGTGTTAAATTATTGGATTACAACAATTTAAAAATCATTGATTAAAAAAACAAAAATTTAATTAATAATTTACATATAAATTATTTTAAAGTAACAGCAATATATTATGTAGAAAATAATCTAAAATCAGACCTATTGTATTTATTATTTTAAACTATACAAAAATTATTAGTAACAAGAAAAAAAATTTTGTTTTCAATTTTTTTTTCTTATAATAAATTTTAAAATAAGTTCTGAAATAAAAATTCACATGTTTAAGAATTTTATTTAAACTTAATTTTAAAAAAATTGGAAGTAATGTCTGAATTTTTTTAAAAGTTTTTACATAAGTTGAACTTATTTAAAAAAATGAATTCAACTTACTTTACTGTTTTGAGTAAATAAGAATTATAGACATAATTAGTACAATTACCTGATTAAATCAACACTTTCTTCAAATATGTTTTGAATTAATGTTTCATTTTCTTTGATACATTCTAAAAATTCACTTGAATCTAAATAATCGTCATTGTCGACATTGCAAGTATTAAATTTTTCTTTAACAATTGTTTGATAAGGTTTACTTCTAACTCTTTCATCTTTCTTTTGCTGAAATAAATTAGAAGTTTGTTAATTAAATATTATATAATTAATTATATGTAATTATAGTACATTCTCACTAATCTGAACAAATTGTTATATGAGTCAGTTCAGATTAGCAGGGTTATTTATATACAGGGTGATTCTAAATATATGTGTGAGGGCCCGGATTTAAGATTCAAACATTTTTATTCATTAGATTAAAAGTTTGGGTTAACACAAAAAGGGAAAAACAACCGACAAATTTTCTCATAAAAATCGCTCATAAAACTCCGTTCCCACGACAATACTTCCCTGTAGAAGATGAGTTAACTGTTGTGTCATAAGTTTGTCACTTCGCCCACCATTGGTCAACGAAGATCATCACCTGTGACGTACATGGGGAAATCTCGAAAAGAGAGGCCCCATATAAAAGACAAGTGCGATGACGACGCAGGGGGAAAAAAGTTATTGTTCTGTACTCTGTGTGTGTGTGCGTGGATTACCTGCCTCTCGTCGCCACCATCCTCGATAGAACTATTCTACGATTTGCAGACTTACGTCAACTCATGAACTATTTTAACGAGCCTGGGATTCGGACTCCAAGATCGTCCTGAAATCACCATCCTGTATAACTAGAGGTATTTATCCTACATGCGATGATGTGTAAGCTCTCTCTCGAATATTCGAACCTCGCGGTTAGGATTGCGATGACTTTATACTTTGCCGTTACTTTATGAACTATACGGATTGAACCCCGAGAGGGATTTGTATTCAAATTATTAACTATGTATAAATGTACGGAATAAACGGGTATTTTGTTAACGAACAATTGGAGTGCATTTCTTCCACCATTATCACCTCCATACTGAACCCGAAGTCCTCGACGAGATCGCTCATGATAATTCCCCATCCATCCGCGTATCTATCCATGATAAATTAATAGATTGGTGTCAGATCCTGACAGGTGAAAGAATCTAACGATCCTTTCTCCTAACCTTTTTTTTTCTCCCATCCTTTAGACAAGCGAGACCGAACCTCAAGGTCTTGAGTCGAGTAAGTGGTAGGAGAGGGAACATCCTCGTAAACATCCTACCCCCGATTAGTCTCACATATGCAAAAAATTTCAAGGACTGATTCTTCAAATAATTTCAACCATAAAAGTGCATATGAATATATATTCAAAATGACATAGTTGAAACAACTGTTGAAAATGACCACTACCAACTGTACTATAATACAGGACTATCCTCCACAGCATTGACTGGCACAAACATTCACAAATACCACACGTGTGTTGAATTATTTCACAAGATGTGATAATGTGATTCAATAATTTGTCAACATTTTCAATGGAGCCACTTATTGAACATCTGTAACTTTAAAACTATGTTGTTTTGAGCATATGTTCATATGCACTTTTATGGTTCGTATTATTTGAAGAACCAACTCCTGAAATTTTTCACATTTATTTACTGTAGAATTACCCTGTATATATAAAGGAAGCAAAAGGGCTATATAGATCTACCTACTTAAAAAAAATCTTTATATTGTATTTTGTACATATATTTATGCTATATTGGGTAGTATATATTACAGTCAACTTGCTTTAATACAAATCGCTAGGGGAATGATTGTTACTTTGCTTTATTGAATTATATGAATTTTCAAATCAATATTAACAATTTTCAGGGTCAAGGTCGTATAATTTAAAGGAGTTAAGATTTAACAGGCAATCAAAATTTCTAAATTATAATATTTTGAATTAATTGACTAAATAAAGTTAAATAAAATAAAATTTATTTACAAAAACAAATTAATACAATATCAACAAAATGACTGGTATAAAGTAAAATAAAATATATAATTACTAATAACCAGCATGAAATTAGATTAAACTAATCAAAAAACAAACTTTTCCTCCTTTTTCAACAGTCATCAGGTTTAGAACTAATAGAATGCTTGTTAAAATAATAAAAATTTAAAAATTTTGATCATGAAAATACGTGCAAGCTCAATGTCACGTTTAACAAGGTTCTTCAAACCAGATTACAGTTTTAAAAAATACCTGGTGTATATAAATTATAAAATCCAAATTTAACTCGACATCTATTGTAAGTCAAAGCATGCCCTCCATGCAGTTGCTAATGAGTCCATTCTTTAAAATTAATTGCTGTCCTCTTTTAAATGCTTTGAATATTTCTAGTTGTTCAAGATATTTCAGGTTGGCAGGGTTATTGCAACATTGTAGTAATTAAGCGTCCTCAAATCTAATTTGCACATCATTATCATCAGAGAAAGAAGCCAATCACGTAGTAGTAAGACCCTTCTGAATTGTTTATTTATGCTCCTTGATCCTCATTTTTAGACCATGTGCAGTAGCTCCATTATATTCATATGGATAGTTCACCTTATGATGGTTTTGAGCCTAGGTTCCCAACCTTTTTTGGCCTACCGTCCCCTTTTTGAAAAAACACAACAACTCTCAATGATGTAACCCATAGTTTTCCAACTTTTTTGGGTCATAGCCTTCTTTTTCAGTGATTCAATGGCCCTTAGGTGAAGTATACAATATAATATACTTCACCTAAGGGCTAATAAAGTAATTTTAAAAATCTGTCCTTATTTTTCAATATATAACGTTAGTGTTGCCACCTTTTCAAACTCGCTGACCCGGATGACAGGTGAGGTTTGTTCGAACAGAAGTTCCTGATGCATGCGTAATGTCATTTTGCAATGTGAAGAATAATGTGCTGTGCATGCTGGTTCTAAATCAGTTACAGTTAGGGACTAGGGAGACTTGGGTAGGAGTAACGTAAGTAAAGTAACCTACATGACTTAGCTCTATTCGATATTGGAGATGTGTATGAAAAATTAAGGTCGACAGGTTGTACACGATATTCCCGGACAAAATTGATAGTTCACCTGGTCAGTGAGTCGATTCCTGGACTGTCTGGGTNATTAAAGAATATTAACAATATTGATGTATTGCTCAAAGTTTGATTAACAAATATATTATGAGGTAGTAGAACTTCCTATATCAAAATTAGACCTTAATATTAATATTGTTCGAGTTACATAACAATTGTTGTTCGTAGCTACCTGAGAAAATCTCCCGTTACATTTTCTTGAAGGCAACACGATGTTTTCTCGTGATCTTTTAACCTCTGGACGGCCGATATCGTTTGGGAATATTGCCAGAGACGATCGAAAAAGTCAGTCATCGTCCGTCCCTCCAACAAAGGAAACATGCACCGATCGACCAAATGGCACTGATTGACGATATACTAGGAGTAATCTCCTGGTATATCATGCCATTTGGATACCTTGTGCCATCATTGTGCTAGTGGATATTATATTGGAACTAATCACCATCGGAACTATTATCAAACAATGAGAGCTCCATCGGGAGATCACCTTCTATCACCAGGTATTTATACAACTCGCGCTCATTATGTGAATCTCTCTCTCCGCAACAAAACTTGGAACCTCTATCTTCTCCAATTTATTTTTAATTAAATCCTTGTTAAGTGTTAATTGTAGTTCGAGTCACTTCCATATGCTATCTCTCAATCAACTGACATTATGAATCCTTCTGTCCACTTACAGAACCACTTGTGCGACGGTGTGATGTAGTATTGCCGTCTCAGCTTCTGTGTTCCACTAAACACGGTGGTGTCAATCCTGACAGGGCACCAAGGAGGTGCCGACCCTAAGGTCACATATATATTATTAAAAAAAATTAATATATTATTATGAGTGAGAGGCCTGAGCTTGATGTAATGACACTAATTTTTCAATGTTTGGTGCCATATTTGTCATCAGCAATCTTAAATTGCCGTGTTACACTATTGACAATCTGTTTCTTTTCTTTATTAGTAAATTGCTGACTAAATCCTCTTTCGGCTAAATATAATGATGGGAATGCAGTGAAAAAGTTCTTTGATGCAGTCCATAAAGCTGGATATAAAACTGGAATTTGCCTTTTAAGCCAAAATTCTTGATATCCATTTTTTAATTTCAATTTTAACTCTTCATTTGTTGATAATTCTATCAACTCCTGCAGTGATAACTCTACTGTTTGTAGGTTTGAAAAAGGTTCTTGTACCCAATATGGAATGGTCATGTTAAGGACATCCTGAAATCTATTTGTAAAATCTTCTTTAAGAGCTTCCAAATGCTGGCAAAATACTAGAATGTTATCATCATTTGTTTCCAGAGATATATTGGTGACCTTTTCCAGTAAGCAGGTGGATGCTCTGGTTTTGTCTACTACAGGATGGAGTTTGTTACCCTTATTTGTGTGTCTTGTCAAATGCAAACAACCTCAGGACATCTGATGAGTCAATCACAATGTTGCCTAGAGCCAGGCATCCAGATAGCTTAGTATAGACAAAACATTTAACTCTGGATTGTAATTTATTGACAAATCCATATTTGACTCTTTTACATTGTGTTTGTTTGATGTATTCTTGCAAAAACTGTGTATATGTATCACATTTCATGACAACCAAGGATTTGGTTTTATTCAAATTATGTTATTTTAAAAATTTTACAAATAGGAGTTAGTTCTGATAACATTCCATTGAGTAATCATTCAGTCATACCTAAAGAAGAACTCAGATGGAGTTGGAAAATGTTTGTGCAGTGTTTGTTTTTTGTATTAAATGCACTGGAAGTTGGTTCTGTGTCTGTTGTTACATATATCCCAATGTGGAATGGTGTATATATCAAAAAACTAAAAACTGTTAATTTTTATATATATTATTTTATGCAAATTTTAAATTAATTCAATAAAATCAAATATGAAAGTTCACTAAATATTAGAATATGGAATTATTTACATACCTGCTCTTTTAATCTTTCAACTATCACTTGTAACATATGATCCCTATCTTTTTGGAAACAAACAACTATAATAAAATAATTTGTGTCAATAAACAATAACATAATAAAATAATTTATTATAATTATTTATTTTATTATAATCATAAAATTATATAACTTAAAAGAATGAAAGAAATTTGTGTGTGCAATATGGTGTGGGTAACCTAATATAAATGGAATCAGAAATATATTAGATAACTGAAAATGTCAAATAAATATAAAAAATGAGCAAAACAGTAGAATCTTCCTTGTAAATAAAGAACATAAATAAAGATATAAAAAGCTAAGGAAAGCTAAAACCATTATATTATATGTGAAAAAAATGAGATAATATAAATGTGGGAACTAGGCATCAGACAACAGAAGCCTAGTTCAAACTAGAGAGAGAGAGAGAGAGCTTTTTCGTTCACAATGCAAATTTACTTGAATAAAAAAAATTAAATATATAATATATATAATATGAATAAATTCACAATTAAATGAAATCATAAATGAAAAACGAATATTGAAAATGGAAAAAATAAAATAATAAATCAAAGGTTTTTGTTTTTAAAACCTTATAATTATTGTCTGTTTCTCACTCATTCCATTTACTATAATGTCTTGTCAGTGTTTTATAAAGAATGTCAAAAAAACAGTTATTTTTGATTACATACAGATATGTGTTCCTTGAATAAAACAGAATATTGGATAACCAAGATCAGATAGTAAAGATTGTACAGTTTAACACATTGTCAATTAATTATAATATTAATGTGGGAATAAGTTGAAAAATATTGAAAATAAATTAATAATTAAAATCAATATATTACTAATCAAACATTACATCTGGATTCTTCTCTGGATCAAAATTCTATCAGGCTAATTAAATTAATTAATCAGATTTAGAATATTCTGGAAGAAAAGATTGGCCCAAACTGAAACTTGAACCTGCAACCAGTAGTGATATTCAAAATATTTAACAAATGGTTCGCTAACAGAAAATTTTTCCTTAACAATTTTTTTCTCCAGTTGACTGCCTGTGGGCAGTCAACTCAAGAAGAACCCAGATATTACACGTGATGATAAAACTGACATAACTACGCGGTAAGTCACGGACACCGACAAACAAAATGAAAGTTTTGGTTAGAAATAAATACAATACTTTTTCTTGCGATATATCTAATAATAGACAGATGTCATCGTCTCTCAAAATACAATATCTTTTTTATTTTGCTGGCAATAGCTCGACACGTGTTCCGCAGCCATCTTGTATTTTCTCGCATGCGTGGGATTGTGGGATCTCTCTTATGACTGGATCTAGTTTCAAGAACTCTTGAGTTGATCGCAACTGAACCTCATTTCAGTCGAGATTGAAACGGTCAAGGGAGGTCACACCAAGGCGAATGGGGTATAAGGCTCTAGTTTAGTAGTGTTACAGAGTATAATACGTATATTTTAATATATTTTTTAAAAGAAATATAAAACCACTGAGAAATGTTATGTGTGTTTAACAAGGTTCAGAAAACTTTGAAAATGTTAACAACAGGTTTGGCCAAACCTGTGCAAACCCACTGAATTGATCACCACTGCCTGCAACTAAAACTTTGCAGATATCATGCCAGTTATGGTACCCAGACCTCAGTTCAATCTTTGTTTCTAAATCAATTAATTTAGACATAACCATACTGATCATTCACTGAGCTGAATGGGAATGATTCAACACCCTCCTTGACTCTTAGCAGATTTAAGTGTTTACTATAGCATGTCATGATATATATATATATATACACACACACACATATACACACACTTATAAACACATATATATGCACTAGTATATATGCCCAACACTGCCTGAGCAAAAATGAACAACAACAAACATTAAAATGAAAACTGTATAAAAATTTAGTTATTTTAGCTTATTGTTGTCATGTTTATCATGAAGTGTTAAAGAAATTATAATAAGAAAAAGAAAATGCAACAAAACAGAATAAAAACAACAAAAATCTACTTTGAAGACAAAAAAATTTATCTTATTTAAATTCATATACCAAAAATAAAAACAAATGAACAATCAGATTTTGAGGCAAATGGAACAAAAATTTATGAATTAAAACTACTAAAAACCTAAAATATAGCAATTTTTGAAATAAGTGTTAATGTTTTTGCATGTGTTGAATGGGCATCCTCAGGAAAACTAATCCCCCAGCTGCTGAAACAATGGGAGATTGCCATACATGTGCGAAGAGTGGAGATGACATAAGACAATGCATGACTTTGATAATGCTCACCTCTTATGTAGCTCTTCCAGACAACTCTTTCTCAAACATCTTGAGCAGGTGGAAATATATAAGGCCACCTGCAATAACACTGTTATTAATTTTCATGATGTGAACTCTTTTTCCACAGTGTGAAAGTCATTCTTCAAACTATAAATCTTAATAACCTCCTCTTCCCCACTTCACATATGTACAGCAATCCCCCCTTATTTCAGCAGCTGGGGAATTAGTTTGTCTGAAGATTCCTGTTCAACATGGGTGAAAATGTTAGCATTTATTTTAAAAAATTGCTGAATTTTAGTTTTTTAGTGGTTTTAATTCAAATATACCCCAGTTTTGAGTCATAATTTTCAAAATATTTATGCTTAACACCCTGGAAAACCCCAGTACATGGTTTGTACATTCTAAAAATGCAATACTTGAAATGTACAGAATAGTACAATTTCATTGGTCAGGTAGACAGGAACTGATGTTTCTCAACAGAAAATAATCATTGACTTCCACCTATACAAGAATACAATTCAAGACATTCAAATTTTTTCTAATGTTAACATATCATTTAGAGCTGAATATGAAATGGTAATTGGCCAACCCAACAAATTTTATGAAAATGGACCAAACATTTAAACTCAATATCCTGAAAAACCCTAAAAACATTTTGCACTTGCTGAAAATTAATGTTAAGTAATTCTCCTATTTGAATGCCACCATTCCACTGGTCAGATAGGAAGGAGTGTGTGTTGAAGACAAAGGGTTGAAGTTAATTTGATCAAAAGTAGTTGTTAAGCAACTCCTAAATGAAAGAATGGTCCCTGAAAATTTTCATTTCATTTATTCAAACTATGTTAAAATGTATAAAGAACAAACTAACAAACTTTCCTCTTTACATATTATATATGTAATTAGATACACTATAATCTGATATACAGGATTCCTACTCAAATTTTTGTTTTAAATTCTATGACTTTCTCTGACCCTCATATCCCTTACAATATGACATTGACAAAATAAAACAGCATTTAACTTAATATGCATATATACTATTGCTTCTTCAACGTTTCAATTAGTTATTTTTTTCTAATTAACATATATAAATATTATGTATTATGAAANTATATATTTTCTATAATTGCTAAATTATTAAAATTAAAAATAAAATGTTTTATTAAATTAAAATAATTTATCCTGTTATTAATCCATAACCATAAATCTACATGGCTATCAAAAAAGAAAAAAGCCATTATTATCCATTAACAAATCCTATATAATCCATCTATAGAAGTATATATTTATTAAATTTATCTCTTAATAAATTTTCTCAACTTTATAAAATATTAATATATTGGAAAAAAAATCAGAAATTGTATTGTTATGCAATCAAAATTATTAAAATAAAAAATGATAAATAAATAATACCATTTAAATTAAAATGCATTGTTATCATTTCTTTTATCAGTTCATTAACACTTGTCCTGAAACTAAGTGTGAGAATGGTAATTGTGAGGAAACAGGAGAAAGTTAAAATATTTCAAAAAATTTTCATCAATGTTACATTATTAAAAGTCTAACATACTTTTCTCTCAAATTCATAATACTTCATAATTAATATAGCTGTTTTAAAGTTTATAAATAATTGATATTGCTGTAAGTTAATTGGAACTTGCGTTAGTTTGATCCCCTGGCATTTTGCAATACTCTCTCATCCTTGTTGCATTTTATAATAATTCTTCACATAAACAATCAATATTAGCTTTTAAAATTAATCTGCACTATCAGTAATAGTAGTAAATGTCTGTAATAAATTGTCTAAATTAAAAAAAAAAAAAAAAAACACAAAGTGATCACAATTTATAAGATCTTCAATGTATTCTAGTTCTCTTATCCTGTCTTGTATATTAGTGCAATGAGTACATGCCTGTTTTGTTTTATGAGAGCCCTAAATGCTGCAAATCTATAGCTTACTGGGTCATGTGAGGCCCACAGTATGACTATTGCATTGTACTATGTGCCACTTCTCTTTAATGTGATTGGGAAGCGCGCAGCAGCATTGCTTTTCCGCTGCAATTCTATTTCTAAGCCAAATGTGTTGGAATTAATAACTTCGATAAATTTTCTGACAGTAGGTTTCTTGTTCCATATTATTAATATGTCATCTACATAACGCATATACACATCAATGTCATCTCTATATTTGGGTATGGTTACTCTATCTCTAATGACCTCAAGACCATCTCACAGTGTCCCAGAAATGGGGCTGCTAATGGGTACCCCTCTATTTTGCTCATATACCCATCTGTTGAATATAAAAAAAATGATGAAAATGTATAAAAGTGAGTATACAACAGGTGATGCAATATGTTTATTTCTATAAATCAACATATTGCATCAAGTTTAGAATTGAATATGCTATCCTACAATGATGACGAAATGTGCTTAAATTACAATGTTCTTTTAATCTAAAACATTTTTATGTTAACTGATCAGTTTAGTGTTGCTTGGAAAATTGTAATGTAGGCCTATTTAATTATAAATATCAGGGGTGGCCAACCTGCGGCTCGCAAGCCACATGCAGCTCTTTGAAGGATTATTTATGGCTCTCGATAAATGTACCCGAGTTCCCTTTTCATTTTTGTGTTATTATATTTTTAAAAATTATTATCGTTCCGTATGTGTTTCAAAATGTCTTTTAAATTACTAACAACAAATATGAAAAACTAAGTGCAACGTTGTAACAAATTTCATTTCCGTCCAAGTTAAGAATGATA